AGCTAAAAAAAGCTACATACACCAAGGTCTGGCTCTCTGTAATGGCTGGCAGGGCCAGGCTCTTCCTAGGAAGGGGCAGGTTTAAAGCTACCTTCCTCCTCGAGTAGCAAACTTTATTGGTGGGATTTTTTTTTCCCCTGCTGCTTGGGACAAAGCAGAGGTTGGGCACTTATAAATCAAAAGCCATCAGAAAAGCTTTCCCCCAAGGAGGAGAGACTGAAGCAATTTCTAGGGAAACAGCCTGGATTTGTGGAGAAAACATTAAGCTAAAAGTCACGGCTGTCAAGAAGCCCTAAATCTGAACCCGGGAGAAGAGAATATTGATAATGTAAGAGCCTCGAGTCTTTTCATGAGAACAGTATGTGGCCGCTAATTAAAGCTGGTTATAGAACAGCAGTGAAGACCCAGGCTCCGGTCAGCAAGAGCGGGGCCCAGCACCAACTCCTCTATTCATTAGCCATTCAGTCTTGGTCAAGTTACTTGGGCTTTTCTGATGCTCATTTTCTCCATCTTAAAAAAAAAAGATAGATAGATAGAAAGAAAGAAAAAGAGAAAATCACCATAGGAGTTTACCTGTGTTCCATAGCAAACTAGAGTGATTGATGTCTCATTTTAGTGTGTGGGTACCCCCTCCTGATTGGTTGCTTCCCCCAAGCCATATTCATGCCATAAAGAAATCTTGAATTCCTAAATAGTACTCTAGCTTACAAATGTTACTGAAAGAATGAAGTAGTGCAAGATGCATAGCCCATTCCAATTACCATTGGTATTCTTTATAGGTTGAGTCTTGTCCCCCTCCCCGCATTGTGTCTAGGTTGAAATCCTAACCAACAACACCTCAAAAGGAGCTACTTGGAAGTAAGCTCCTTACAGATAAGGTTAGCTACGCTAAGATAAGGTCAAGCTGGAGTAGGTTGGGGCCCCCATCCAGCACAGCAGTGTGTGCGTATCAGAAGATTGCCACATGAAGACTCACATATGCAGGCAGAGAGGTTGTGCTGATATCTCCACTAGGCAAGAAATGCCAGGGCGTACAGCTCAGAGGCATGAACACAGCCCCTCAAAGCTCTGGGAAAGAGACAGCCTTGAAGATAACTTGATTTTGAAGTGCTACTCTTTTAAGCTGTCTGTCTATGGGATTCTGTCATGGGTAAATTCCTGAAAACCCACTAAGATTATGAAATTGTAAGATACCAGGAAGATGTTTAACACTGCTAAACTTCTCTTCCTCAGACGATAAGATTTGCATTCTTTCAAAATGAGAGTTACCCAGAACTGATCAAATATTGGTGCAGTAAGGGCAGACAAGCCTCTTTTTATTTTTTCATTCTATATTTCAATTAATAAAGCCGAAGTTTAAAAAAGAATTTGGGCTTACAAGAATTACTCAGTTGAGTTATTTACATAAGTTTATTTATTGACTAAAATATTGACCATTTTCTCATACAAAACTCTAACTTTCCCTTTCTCTACAATTTGTAGTAGCTACTTTGGACCTAAACATAGAATCTGGAATCTTTCTCCCTCATAATTTCCCTCTCACTGCTCCTTCTTTTCATTTATAACATCATTTATTCTTTGACTTACTTCCTATCTACAATTAACCAAAAATCTATATTAAGTGCTATAGAGTCTTACATAACAATTTCACACTTTCCATAAGAAAATATTATTCTTCAGTATCAATGTGAGTCAGGTAGACAAAATCTAGTTAAGAAAGATAGCAAGGCCTTGTGTATGTGTGAAGGACTTTTCACAGAGCAACGGTGTAGTCATTACAGGAGTACAGAAGGGACATCCAAGAATGTAATGCCTGGAGCAATTCAAAATGGGAAGACAAGTGTAGCTTAAGATTAGAGGGTCCAGGATAGAGCTTACAGCTATGGGGTCAATTTAGTTTAGACATGTCAGTCCATCTAGTCCCAAGGTAGATTTGCTTTGTTTACATGTGACCAATGGATTGGCATCTCCCACAGTATCTCTGGGATCTCATCATCGTTGTTCAAGGATAAACTATGAGCTGGGCTTTCTTGATGCCAACTAGTAAGATCTTTTCCATGCCTCCAAAAATTCAGGATAGTCTTTAAATAAGAGAAGAAGCAAATGTTCTGAAAATGGTATTTGTTTATTTCAGTCAATATTAGGTACTGAATATGTAGTATAAAATAGCAGAGTAACCACTCCAATTCTATAAAATTGCTTCCATTATTTATCTCCACACTACAGATAGCAAAGCTCAAAGAGAGTTTAAGTGGCCTTCCCATAGATAAACATATATGGGGACGAGGTTTGAGCCCAGACAGACTGGCAGTCTTGGCAGCTTTGCTCTGCCTGCTTCCTCTCCATATTAGAAATGGGGACATAAAATAATACAATATGTAACGTAAGAGCAGAATAATAAGATATGATCTTCATGCTGGTCACTAATACCTGTTATTCCTAATTCAGTGAAATCGTAGACATTGTCCAGAGCTGAAAATGAACAGAACAGTGAGTAATTTAGGGTTAGTGGAGAGAGATTAAATGAATTGGAGAATAATTCAACCTTTTGCTCACTGAGCATTTACTCATTAAATCATTGATGTATTTATCCTTTCATGAATCTGCCCATCCATTCATTCAACTACTAAATACTGAGTGTTTCCATGTCCTAACTACACAGCCGTAAGATGCAGATGAGACATGGTCTGACTCAAAGCAACTTAGCAAGCCAGGTAGTAAAATCAGGCACAGAGAGCCTGTGGCCTAGCACAGCAAGTACCACAAGAAGGGTACCCACAGAAGAATGTTAGGACAGGAAGGAAATTAGGAGAGAAGAATGCTTCGTGGGAGAAAAAGAAGTGGTGAACCACACCCAAGCAAATTTCCTAACTTCAGTGTTTTTGAGAAAGTTGTAGGATGTACAGTTTCTATAAAAAGACGAGAAAAAAAATGAACATTTACTTATAAAGAAAAAAAAAGAGTCTCACATAGCCCAGGCTAATCTTAAATTTGCTATGTAGGGGAGGCTGGCCTTGAACTCCTAATCTTCCTGCCTCCACTTCCCATATACTAGCAATAAAAATGTGTGCCATGAGCCCAAGTTTGCGCACGTCTTTTTTTTTTCTTTTCTTTTCTTTTTTAAACACTCCTAAAAAAAGAAAAAAAAAGAAAAAAGACATTGAAGCACAGTTGTTAAGAACACAGGGGCTTGGGATCAGTTTGGCCAGCTTTCCCATCTCAACCCTTTTAGGCAGAAATTGAAATTGTTTTGCTATAAGATGAGACTCTCCGAGGGGTCGAGTAAGATCATGTGTGCGTGCTCAGTGCCATCTGTGCCCTGTGCACAGCCAGGGAGTATTAACTGACATTCACCACCTTCTTCTCAGGCTCACGGTTACAGCTACTTGGCCCCTTAGTCCTTAATCTTCTTAGGAGCTCTGACTTCACTTGAGAACCGAAATGTCCGAGTCTCTATTTTTCCTTTTACACAGGGACTGGAAAGGAAATATAATTTTTGTAAAACTGATTTTTATTGCTGTGAATTTATTATACTGCATGGTTCTTGGTGACTAAGTAACCAACGGAGGAGCTAATTCATTATTTTAGCAATTTAAACAGGACCTCGGAAGAAAGGCACCCTGTGGTCACAGAGCACTGGGACTATACTAATGAGAAGATTAAAACAAAGCTCGGCTCACATCGTTCCAGATAAATCACAAATGTACCCAAGAATAATTAACAATCACAAACTGCCTGGAACTACATTATTTGGCTGGTCAGTTATTGTAAAGTCAACCTGTATTGAATAGGCGAGATAAAGGAGTTGATGGATATGTTATTTGACATGGCCATCGAGGTCCCTTCATAAATATTTGAGGACACATGGAGTACCCCTAAGTTTCTGTTGTCCCCTACATTCTAATTCTCATTTAGAAGTGAAGAGAAGCTTTGAGCTGTCTTCAGTGGGAGAGGCTGTCCACAGAGCCTCCACTCCTGGCATGTGTTCTAGAAATTCCTTACACACTGTGGGGGCAGATGAGTGTATTCTGTGTCCAAATGACTATGTTAGTCTGACATTTCAGTGCTGTGACAAAAGACCAGGAAATACTACTTCAGGGAGGAAGGACTTTTTTTGTCTCATTTCAAAGGGTTCAGTCCATCATGGCAGAAGGGTGAGGCAGAGCAAAGCTGCTCATTTCATGGTGTCTGGGAAGCGAAGAAAAGACAGAAATGTCTGGGGATAAGATTATGCCCTTGTCTTAGTCAATGTTCAATTGCTGTGAAGAGACACCATGACCAACACAACTCTTAAACAAGAAAGCATTTAGTTGGGGTCTTGCTTACAGGTTTAGAGGTCTAGTTCATCATCATCATGGCGGGGTATATGGTAACATGCAGATGGGTGCTGGAGCAGTAGCTGAGAGCTACATCCTGATCCACAGGCAAAGAGAAAGAGACTCGGCCTGTTTCAAAACCTCATGAGTTTTGAAAAGCCCACCCGAGTGGGCTTTTCACTTCCTCCAACAAGGCCACACTTCCTAATCCTTCCTATCTTTTCAAATAGTACCACTTCTTGGTAACTAAGAATTCAAATATATGAGACTACGGGGACCATTCTTATTCAAACCATCACAACCTTCCAATCATGTAACGCTGCGAATGTATGAATCCATCAAGGGATTAATCTATTATGAAATCAATAGATTATGATCCCTCATGGTCTAATTCTCAAATACCCTTTAGCTGTCAACCAAGCTTTGGGAGGGGGCCATTTGAAATTAAAGCCACAACAATACCCTCATGTAGGAGGGCTGTCCATTATCAAGAATCCAGTGTTTGAGAAAGCAAAGGCCCAGCTTACTGACCTAAAACCATTGTCTCTTCCCATAGCCCCAGAGAACTTCTGTCTATGTATGCTCTAGCTTTACAGAGTGAGAGCTGTGATACACTCAGGTATATATTTCAGAGCTCATCTGAATGCCTGTGTTCTTTTTTTTTTTTTTTTTTTTTTTTTGCAGATTCCTGTAACTCCATGCTGGCTATTACAGAAAGATCTTGAACCAAGCTCTGGCTGAGAAGATGGTGATTGACGGGGAGACAGTGGTCTTAAAGAACATGCTCATTGGGGTAAACCTGATCCTGTTGGGATCCATGCTTAGGCCTTCTGAGTGTCGCCTGGAGGTGACCACAGAAAGGGTCCAGAGACAAACTGTGGAGGAGGACGGACGGGCTCCCAGCTACAACACATCCAGCAAGGAACAGCCTATGGTCTTCAACCACGTGTATAACATCAATGTACCGCTGGAAAGCCTCTGTGCCTCAGGGCTGGAGGCCTCAGCTGAGCAGGAAGTGAGTGCCGAGGATGACGCTCTAGCGGAATATACAGGCCAGACCTCAGACCACGAAAGCCAAGTCACGTTCACCCACAGGATCAACCTCCCCAAAAGAGCCTGCCCATGTGCAAGCTCTGCCCAGGTGCTGCAGGAGCTGCTGAGCCGGATCGAGATGCTGGAGAGGGAGGTGTCGATGCTGCGAGACCAGTGCAGCACCAACTGCTGTCAGGAAAATGCTGCCACAGGTAGAGTCTAAAGAGCTCGCAGCCTGGTCCCTGGTGGATGAGGAGAGAACTAAGTGGAGAGGGAGGCGGGATGAGAGGAAGGAAAACCCAGCATCTCTTCACGGGGTCAAAGAAAAACATGCCTGGTACATAAGTCCCAATTAATGTGTCATCTGTAAGATCTAAATGCAGCCATCGCCTGGGGATTTGGTTCAGGGATTCTCAACACCATTTACCCAGTACGAAATATATTAACCTGATTTTGGGGGGATGAGTCAGGTAATGGCACATCGGCTCAGCACTGCAACTTTGATGGCAGGCAGGGAATTTGATGTCTGTCTTCATTCATCTTTGGTTTTCACAGGCTGTTGAGCTGATATCTGTTCATGTTAACCTGACTGACTAGAGAATGTGGTACTCTGTTCACTCGCTCACAGCCTTTCTCCTGTCCGAGTCATTAAGGTCTCAGAGGACCTGGCCACATTTTCTCCTGTAAGATGGAAGTTTTATCCTGAGCCATTTGACAGACACACACAGACACACACAGACACACATACACACACACACACTGTATCCTTTCTCCAAAAGGCTGAATGGTCACTGGATTTACTTCTGTATTTGCCCATCTGTTCCTCACTGTATGTGTGATCAAGACTTCAGAGTCAAACTCTTGAGTTCAGATCTGCTATGCTACTTCTGGCTTGTGATCTAAGCAAGCCATATAACTCAGGCCTTTCCTTCCTCAGCTACAAATAGTGACATACTAGAGCAATAAGGAGTTATTAACTATTAGCTCACCTAGTCCGATGGGAGCCTGGCTCCCAGGAAACATCATATAAGTAACAGCTATCATTAGCTGGCCCCAGTTAGCGTTGTGCCTTGCTTTCTCCACCCGAAAGATTCCTCAGACTCACGTAGTTCAGGTCCTGGATGACAAGGAACAGCATCATATCATCTTGGGTGCAAGTGTTTATCTCTGTAAGAACCTGAGTCACTCTTCCTGGGAACTTTGCATAACCACACTCTGGCTCAGCCACATTCCTTCCTGATTCCCCCCCTACACACACACACACAGACACACACCCAACCCACTATGGAAAGTGTCTTCTGGGAACAGTTTTTAATAAGTCACTTCTAGGGAACCTAACCTAAGATGCTCTGAAGGTGATCTGTGAGAGGACAATGGCCCAGATCATATCCATCTTTACCCCCAGAGCTATATTAGGCATAGACAACTGCACAGGGTGAAAATATTTATTAAGTTGAATTTGTACTAAACTAGGTCGTAGCACCAGTGTGATGAAGGGATGAGACTCGGTCTCTGCTCACCCCTCCCCAGTACCCTTTACAAGAGGCTACTGCTGCCCTTTGACCTTCTCCTTGGCTATTTTAGGACAACTGGACTATGTCCCTCACTGCAGCGGCCATGGCAACTTTAGCTTCGAGTCCTGTGGCTGCGTCTGCAATGAAGGCTGGTTTGGCAAGAACTGCTCAGAGCCCTACTGCCCACTGGGCTGCTCCAGCCGGGGCGTGTGTGTCGATGGCCAGTGCATTTGTGACAGCGAATACAGCGGAGATGACTGCTCTGAGCTCCGGTGCCCGACAGACTGCAGTTCCCGAGGGCTCTGCGTGGACGGGGAATGTGTCTGTGAGGAGCCCTACACAGGCGAGGACTGTGGGGAGCTGCGCTGCCCTGGGGACTGTTCAGGGAAGGGGCAATGTGCCAACGGTACCTGCCTGTGCCAAGAGGGCTATGCTGGTGAGGACTGCAGCCAGCGGCGATGTCTGAATGCCTGCAGTGGACGAGGACACTGCCAGGAGGGGCTCTGCATCTGTGAGGAGGGCTACCAGGGCCCTGACTGCTCAGCAGGTAGGAAGGGGAACACTCTGGGGCTAGCTCCAGTTGGTTGGAGGGGAAGGATGGGGGAAGAGGTTGGGCAAAATAATTCCCAGTTTGGTTTGTACTCATTTGCTCTCTGAGGTAACTGCTTTTGAGTCTGTAACAATTGGTGAGGTCACATTCAGGATGAGATCTGGATGTCCACCCCTAACACTAGAACAAAGACAATGATAGCAGGGATGACAATACCTTAAGGTACTTAAATACTACTGTTTTTTAAGGTAGGGTGGCTGGCATATTAGCTCATTCTCTGTTGCCAAATAACACAAAAACAGTAGGGTGGTTTATAAAGAGGTTTCTTTAGGATCATAGTTCTAGAAATTCAAGACGAAGTAGCTATATCTAGTAATAGCCTTCTTGCTGGCAGAGTGGCAAAGTAGTACAACGAGTCATGTGACAAGAGATAGGGAGCCTTGTTGTATATCTGCTTGTCTCCTTATTAAGCTGCCAGGCTTCAATCATGGGGTCCACTGTGATGACCCCACTTCTCAATGACCATATCTCATCAGATTGAGTTTTTACTCCTTTGAATAACTCAGAATGGGCATTAAATTTTAACCCCTGAAGCCTAGAGGGACATACACAAACAATATTCAAATCACAGCAAGTAGAAAAAGGTCATGGGACCATGCTAGATACAGCTTGTCTTTAATTCACGAGAGGCCATGAGTTGTACCTGCTTCAAAGTACCTTCCTTGTCCATTACTCTCTCTCTCAGCATCTTACATCATTGCTTGAGGGAGGATGGTTCCAGTTCTCTATTTATCTGGTTTGCTTACAGATTGTAGGATGGGATTAATTTATGAAATTACCAAGGAGCTGACATTCTAACAATTAGTATAGAATATTAAACAGATATGACTCATTTTGTTCCAGATGATTATAGCACAGACAGGAACCAACTCCATATGTAGTCTACATTGTAGAAAATGATAGAACAGTTGTGTCCTGCCATGGTGTTCTAAAACCTAAATCCAGGAGTGAGGGAGATGGAAGTATTTCATGGGGCTGGGGGTGATTTTCATGTTTTTCCTCCAAATCATATTATTTTCATTGTTTTTTCTATTGTTTGTCTCCCTTCAACTAAATCAGTAACTATTGCTGATACATCTGTGTGTTACAAGTATAGATCAAGTAATTGATCTTTTCCATTATGATCTCAGAATACCTTCTGGGAATTCCTTAAATAAATAAAAAACAAATAACATTTTTAAACTTCCTAATTGAGTAATTCTAGTAATTTCTAAGGGACAAATCCTGGGGAAGCCAGCTTCCATGGCTTTCTGTTGTTCAGCCTCTGCATATGCGGCTTCAAATTAAACTCTTCTAAAGCATTAACAGCAACAAAGGGAGAACAATTGCTCACTGCTTGGAAAGAAGTACCTTTACTTCTTTTCCTGTATTACATTTCTTCCAGGTTCAATTATGTCATCTAGCTTTTCAATTCTGTTTACTGACTTGAAATTCCTCTCTAAAAGTATAGTCATTATACCAATTATTCCAAATCAAAACGAAAGCAAAAGTTGGCTCTCAGTGCTTCTGAATCTGAAGGGCTGAGACAATTGCTGCAAGCCTAAAGCCTAACTTTGTTCCTACCAAGATCATGAGGCTCCCTCAAGGTCCCATTCAGAGGACACCAAGGGACAACTGGAGTCTAGCACACATGCCTCTTACTACAGTTAGTGCTTGCGAATCTACATATACTTGTCATCTTTTCCATGGGCTCAGGTCTATTTGTAAAATAAAACATGACAAAGAACGACAAAACAACTTGATCTGATCAAGTGTTCAAACTGACCTGGAGATGTGATATCTTGATTGCATCAGGCAAGATTCAGCAGCTGTTAATAAAGCTACATCTGGGTCAGGTCCAAACCTAGCATCCATGCTACCTCTGACATAACAGCCATGTCCTGCTTGGGGAAGATGTCTGCAAACCCAGATAAATCTTCTTTACTGGTTCAAAGCCCGTGAGGAAGGACAGTTGCATAATCTCCATCTGTTTCTATAGCAACCCTGGAGCCACCTCTCAATGCAGGAGGTACTCCTCTTAATGCCTGCCTTTAAAACCAAATGCCAGAGGTCTCTTCCAGAAAGGGATTTGGGTCATTATCTAAAGTGCTACTTTACTAGCTCTTTGTGAAGAGCATGTAGGCGTGGGGCCTATTTACTCACTGTTTGACATTTCTGGCCAGGTGCACACAAGACAGCTCCCAGGAGGGCAGAGAGAGAAGGGGCAGAAGGGTCAAAAAGGTGAAAACCTGGACAGCCACAGAGTAGCCTTCCTTGTAGGTCACCATTTTTCTTTGGCAGGACATGGAGAATAGCTGCCCACCTCGTGAATTTAATTATGAGCCCCCCTGTATCCCAGCATCAGGACCATTGACAAGTCGACAGCAAGGCCATTACAGTTGACTCCTAGCCTTGATCTTTGCTTACCGTATGGCAATGAGTCTTTCTGCCTTGTCCTCTGCCCATGTAAAGATAAAACAACAAAACCTTCTGAGTTTTAGTACTCGAAACAAGCTTTAGAAAAAAAAGCTGCTTTGAGTTTCTTGTTTTCCAGATTTGAAAAACAGCAGTCAGAGACAGGATTTTGCTAGAACTAACAGCTCATTAAGAACGGAGTAAGAATGAGAACTCTGGTCACCCACCAGCTTCTAGCATTCTCTAAACCTCTTTGAGACGATAAACCAAACAGAGTCGAAAAATAAAATTGTTGTCATCAAATACACAAGATACAGTCTTTTGACATAAGTGCTGAGGCCAGCAAATGGTTTTAGCTTTGTTTTAATGAGAAACACCTGGAGTCCTTTGTAGTTCTTTGTGCACATCCTTCCAGTTACAATGGCTGGTGCAGGAGCCGGTGAGTGAGCTGTTGAAAGCTCCCTAAGAGTGAGCAGGACAAGGTTCCCTGGAACTCAGAGAGATATGTGGACATTTATCAACATCATTGTTCAGCTCTGTCGAGACAAGCTGCCTGACCTCTGGCTCCTGGAACAACTTGCTCTATGGAGCAAAATCTCAGCCTGGAACTGCCTCCCAGTGTGCTCACTAGGTGCAAAAGTGATGCGTGATATGAAAAGGAAATGGCAACACTGCTTTGGAAATAAATAGGCCTGGGTCCTTCAGCCAGTCTCTTCCTTTTTAGCGCCTTGCTTTTCCCCCAAGTCTCAAAATGAAAGCGGCAGAGAGAATAAGACTGCAAATGCTTGGCACTTGCCACACCTCGCTGCACGCATTGCTTCTGTAGCTTGTCCTCTCTGGTTCAGTGTTGTTCTGTCTGATAGTGATGGCTGACACCTTCCCTGGCCCGTTATTCACCATAGTACTCCTGACACAGATGACAGCAGAAGCTGTTCTCTCGGTCAGATGTGAAGGCAGTGTTAACCGCCTCAGATGAGGGGGATGAAAATTTCTCTGCATCTTTTTTTTTTTTTTTTTGCTTTAAGATTTTTAAATGCCCTACTCAGATCAACAACTCTTGTCATAATTAGCTGTTCTTCTGGGAGAAGGAACAGAAAAAAAAAAAAAGAATGCTAGTCCCGCAGCACCCAGGAGATGCCAGTGACTTTACTGACAGGAGGAGGCCTGTCAGTAAATCTCAGAGTAAAGGTGTTGACACATAAGAGGCAGCGCAAGATAAAAGTCTGTTGAATACAAGTTGAAGTCATTTGGACTGTTTCTCATGGAGCTTCTGTACAGTCCTAGGAGAGCCATGCATAAACAAATGAAGATAGCAGGTGCAAAGTGCAGCCATTTGAGAGCTTGAGAGTCAGTTCGGCTCTGCCTCAGTTCCCTGGATTTTGGCTCATCCCTCCGCTCAGCCCTCTCTCGTAATGTTAGGATTATTTTTCCTACCTGAATCAGGGCTGCTAAAAGGGGATTTTTAATTCATTAAATGGTTGGTATGTCTGACATACTTTACAACTGAAATGTTTCATAACTGTAATCTAGAATTATGTATTGGCTGATAGCGTCTCTAGTCATTGTGCCTGGGTTCAAATTCTCCCTTCTATGTTTGCTTGCTGTGTGCCTCAGTTTCCTTATCTATAAATAAGGGGTAATAATAAAATATATCCTGCTATTCTGGTTGGAGGTTAAAATGGGATAACCCAGGATAATTAATGATTAGTATTTTGCCTGATATATAACAAATACCAGAAAGAAAGGAAAAAAGAACAAAAGAAAGGAAGGAAGGAAGGAAGGAAGGAAGGAAGGAAGGAAGGAAGGAAGGAAAGAAGAAGGGAATGAAGGAAAGAGAAAAGAAAGGAGGAAAGAAAAAAGCCAAATAGTAGCAGGCTTTCTATGAGTTTACTTCAGTGCTCATAATGTCAGAGCCATCAACAATACATTTATGAGCTTAATGAAATTTTATTTATACAATTTTAAGTAACTTTAAGACCTGTGTGGGAATAATGGTGCAGAGTTATAATCCCAGCATCAGGGAGATAGGGTGAGGCAGGAGTATTGTATGTTCCAGTAAAGCCTGGGCTACATTGTGAGAACAAAGATAAATAAACAAAGATCAAATAAGAAGAAAGAATAGATGTCCTGTTTCAGATAAGGTTTCCCTTCTTCACTCAGAAGAAACTTTATTTTCTCATCTGTCTTATGCAGAGAATAGTTTGGGGCAAAAGCAAATATGGCTATTATTATATAGTGTTATTATATGGTATTATTATGTAGTGTTATAAATGATATCATTCTTTCCCATGAATCTTGGATCAGTTAAAGGGCTCCTTGGTTCTCTTTGCCAACAACTTGAGGTTTCCTGTGTGAGCACAAGGAGACAGGCATTCTCCTCTGACACTGCCCTGTGAAAAGCGTCTGGCCTGGCCCTTTTTTGTTTGTAAGGTGAAAGTGTGAGATAACCCAGAAGAGAAACTCAAAACCAATGACAACTCTTAAACCACTGGGAACCTCCACCACACACAAACATGGAAGTTAATTATGATCACTTAAGTCTTGGCCTGATCTTTGCTGTAAGCTATGAGCATGTCCAATTATAGACACTAAGTTAGCCTTCTAATTAGTCTTAAAGGTTCAATGATTTGATACCCATCCTATGGTGAATCCTCAGTTCCCAGGGGAGCTGTACAAGAAAGGCTATTGCAATATGATTTAACCTTTTGCAACTCTGCATAGCATTTGCAAAGCTGGACAAGTGAGAAAAGCAAAGCACTCAAGAATGCTTCCTGGTCAACCTCTCTGAGGTCAAGGCTAATGAAAATTAGTTTGAAACAGTTACATCTGCCTTAGGGCTTAAATGCTGTCCTTTTAAATGGTGTGGGGGAGGGGGGGATTGGTTATAATAAAGGACTACTGAGCATATTCATTAGGCCATGAGATACAGGACATGCTGTTTTGGCTTCTTATCATTTATAAGAAAAACAGAAATTAGTCTTTATTTCCACTTGCTAACTCATAACTGGCTGTCAGGATGGTCTGATGGCAGCAATTTATTAAACCACCGAACTGCTTAGCCGGCAGTGCGCTGTGAAGAGCCCAACAACTGGCTCCCGGAAGGAAAATAAACAAGTACACCCTCAGGTGTAGATTTTGCATGTTTCCATGGGGGAAACACCTCCGTGGCCAGTTTCAAGCCTCTTGTGTGACACCACTAAATATGAAGTGGAGAACAGCTATGCAACAGAAAACAACTACGTAGCATTTCCACCAGAGTTGCGGCAACACCAAAGATCACCTAAAGGGCATAGTTAATTGTGAAATTATTTTGAAGTGGTGTGTCTTAAATAATTACCTACTAGATGAAATTTGCTTAATTACCATTTCATAGTGGTTTTGACTTTGACAATGACAATACCTGTGAACAGTCAGGCAGAATGCCTGAAAATCTGACAGTCCGCCTTCACGAGACAGAAAGGGACCAGCAGCACATTCACTTGAGGCTTGACAAGCTTTGAGGAGCTTGTCATCTTTCAGTAGGGAACCAAGCCATGGAGTCCAACAGAACTTCAGACAGGGAATTAGGGGGTGAGATGTGAGCAGGAAAGTTGAGTCCAGGCTGGGAAAGGCAATCCTCTGAGCTCATGCTGTCTGTGTATTGCCTCCCGGTAGTTGCCCCTCCAGAGGACTTGCGAGTGGCTGGTATCAGCGACAGGTCCATTGAGCTGGAATGGGACGGGCCGATGGCAGTGACGGAATATGTGATCTCTTACCAGCCGACGGCCCTGGGGGGCCTTCAGCTCCAGCAGCGGGTGCCTGGAGATTGGAGTGGTGTCACCATCACGGAGCTGGAGCCAGGTCTCACCTACAACATCAGCGTCTACGCTGTCATTAGCAACATCCTCAGCCTTCCCATCACTGCCAAGGTGGCCACTCGTACGTACCATTTCCCCGTCCTGCTTCATTTTTATTTTCTCCTACATGAGATCATGGGCATTCACGATAGTAGTGTCTTTTCTTAATTCTCTAGGGATGCCTGCAATAGTTTTTTTCTTGGGGGAAAGGGCTTCAGAGGTGACCCATTTTTAAAAGGGTCCACCATGAAACAGGTGTTTCTTATTACAAGAGCTTCCAAATTCAGGCAACATCCATGAATTCTAGAACAAACAATATTCTAATTATTGAACACTGATTTGTTACAAGCTGGACTCTGCTAAAAGTCAAGGAAAGTGTGAGATTTATACAGATTTTGAATCTAGTTAGGGATTCAAAACTAGGAGCTTTGAAGGATAATAAGCAAGGGCTAAATGTTACAGGTGGTGAGTGCTAAGCAGAGTGAGGGAAACAACAATAATGACAACATTATTTTAAGCCACAGCTGATGAAATCTATTTCTAGTAGGGAAGTGGCATAATTTCTTTATGACCTTTTACTTTAGCAAAACATCCTAATAGTCACGTTAGTAATTCAAGTTGAGGTTCTAAAATATAATTTAGAAAACCACAATGGAGAAAGTAAGAGTGAAGATGTAGACACAAAGCAAGCTGAACTGTCTCCATGATTCATGGAGACTTTCTGGAAAGTTTTTTATTGTTTCTTTATCACAAGGGGGCCCTTCTCTAGATCCTTATCTATGTTCTGTATATGTTTAGTTCATCAAAGACATATAAGAGATGCCAGGCATAGTGGTTCATGTCTTTATTTCCAGCACTCAGGAGGCAGAGGCAGTATGTAGATCTCTGTGTGATCCAGGCCAGCCTGGTCTACAAAGTGAGAGCTAAGGACAGCCATGAAAATCCTGTCTCAAAAAAAAAAAAAAAGTTACAATAAAAAGTAAAGAAAAGAAAAGAAAAATGAGATAACTTACTAAGTGTTAACGTTGAATCTGCCCAAAAAGAGCAAGGAGAAAGGAAATGCTATTTCTTTTCTTTGTATCCTTCTGAATTATTACATTGTTAAAACGAGTCTGTATTACTTTCAGCTTTCGGAAACTATGGTGAGCAACTCTGGTGAAAGAAACGTCCTGTAGCTGGGCAACTTGCTGCCCCAGATATAGCACAGAGCCTTTCCCACAGATGCTTGTACACCTCATAGAGATAGCGATGAAAGGGACTGTGCCTAACTAGATTCTACAAGGAGAACATCTGAAGGATGAGGGCTGAAAGGTACAGCCTAGCAGTAACAAGAGACTAGAACAAGGAGTGTGATCATGGAAACAGAGACCCTCAGAATTCAGAAAGCTTTTTGAGGTCTGGAAAGAGAACTTATGACCAGATAGGGAAGGAGAGCTTTGAGCCCGTTTTATATGTCTCACATGACAAATGGCATTTGGATAACAAATGCCAGGAAAATTCAGGAAAAGGAAATGTCAAGTTAAAAGAGTTGGTCTCAAGGACCTCAACGAGGTCAAAGACTGAAAGATGCAGAGATAGGGAGGGACACAGACTTAAGAAGTCACCTTGTCCCACTTGTGGGTGACTGAAGTCTCATGATAATGTTGGACTCCTCCCTGAATGCTGAGTGTGTTAATCTGCCTATAATTATCACTGTTTATATCTGACCCTTGAAAAAAATCTGGTGCCTGAGAACTAGTTCTAAATACGTGCAGTGATTGTGTGGAGGCAGGTCATCATCTGCTGCCTTTCCACTGAGCTGGGGCTGAGTCACCCCATGGAGTGCCTGGCTCCTCTTCGATCCACACCCGTGTCTTGATGTGGCTTCCAAATCCGATGGCAATTTACTGTGCCAATTCTGGCCATCCCCGCCTAGGTAACAAAGACAAAGTCATGTAAACTCCCCTAGCTTTTCTTCAAGTGGCTTACGGATCAGCCCTGCCTTCCCACCAAGGAAGCTTCTCTACAAGAATCTCTCCTCTTCTAGTGAGAATAGCCCGAGAGGCAACGCTAACACGGGAGCAGGCTTCCTAGAGAACTGTGAAAAGTCACGCTGTCATATTTCAGGGCCAGTGACTGGAATGCCATCAGGACAAGCATACGTCCACCTCACTAAACCTGTGTATGTGTGTTTGTGTGTTTGGGGGGGAGGGAAGGGATGGAGAGAAAGAGAGAGGCTGGGGGTTAAGATCAAAGCAAAACTAGATAAGCGAGGCCAGGGTGAGCAAGAGAAGAGAGGAGGGAATTTAGTGTGGATTGTACAGGAGCAACACTCGGTATGTGCCTGTGCTTCCTTTGTATACATAAAGTAGCAAATCCAGACCCTCCAAGGCGCAGTGATTTGAGTCTCTATGTTCGGCGCACCTCAGATACTCAAGAAAAGCATCCAGTTTTACTCTAAAGCTGGCTTATCCCACGTCTTCAGTCAGCCTTCTCCGTGCCTCCCTTTTCCTGGGTGTAAAATAAGAACATGGGTATCAGAGACTATCTGACCTCCCAGGAATCTTGCATGACATCTACACGTAGCATTTCAGTCTTCTGAGAAAATATTTTTATTCAGTGCCAGGTTATACCACATGAAGAAAGAAAAGAAAACATGATTTAAAAAAAATTTAACATTAACATTTTCTATTATAGACTAGAAAGAACAAAACTAACAATTATGTTTGTTAAGTTTGCTCATGTATTCACCCACACTGAGCGCCAGGGCCACATGACAGAGTGCTGGTCCTGCCGCTGAGGCTCTGTCTGCAGCAGGATTGGGACTGCCCTGCCCGCTACACCTCTCCTCACCCAGGACACCAAGGGAGGTCACAAGACAAAGAACCAGGAGGCGATCTCTGCCCCTGCCAGGGATGGCCATGACATTGCCCCCACATTGCTGTGTTCCAGATCTCTCCACTCCTCAAGGGCTACAGTTCAAGACGATCACAGAGACCACCGTGGAGGTGCAATGGGAGCCTTTCTCCTTCTCCTTCGACGGATGGGAGATCAGCTTCATTCCAAAGGTAACACTCAACTGTCAGCTCGCACAAGCCTGATTTGGTAGATTCCTATCCTCAACCTAGATTTAGGGACACGGAAGGTATTATCCAGTGTAACTGCCAAAGCTACCTAGGACAGTTGTGAGAGTCTGGGCTATAGGACACTGTTCTCACACAGGCCAACAGGACTGTCTAACAAATACAACCTGAGCTCAGCTCCAGGCCTTGGGTGATGGGGCATGTAGGGAGCAGTGCCAAGATCCAGCTGTCTGCTGAGGGAGCACCAGGGTTTGGAGAGCTGGGCTTTAAGTGACCCTGAAAAAAACCAAGACTTCAAAGAGTCAAGTCCTCCTCTTAGCACAATAGAACAGCCAAATGGAACAAGTCACACAGTTGACCCACAGATAAATGCGGAAAAAGTTAGCTTGTGGGCCTCAGCCTGTGAAAGTTAGAGATGTAAAACAGTCTTCATTTTTCCTGAATTAGTCGAAATGAATTTGTAATCCATTGAGCAAGTTAAAAGTATCCTAAGAGTCTTCTCTGGTCTTTAAAGTTCCGTTTTATTTTATGAGTCCCAGGACTGTGTTGCAAGTGGCCAGAGCTGTTCCAATTTCCAGCATTTGTTGGCTGTGTTCATATTCTTCCTAAGCATCACTCATAGATATGGAGTTCAATGCACTCCTTTCCTCTGTCTTCATCCTTCACCATCAAAAAGCATTTTTTGAGTCATTCATCAGACTTAATGACAACTGACACATTTTTGGCTAACAAGACTGTGTGGTTTTACTGTTCTTTTACTCGAAAATTCCTGCAGCCATGACTGTTGTAGCTACAAAAGATCTTCAAGCAAATGGAATATGAGCCTTCATTTTAGATTTAGCTTTGTTTAGTCTGTGGAGATCAAGACTCAGAGATCTTAAGTGACATCATCTGCCAGGTTTAAGACAAAAACCCCAAGTCTCAGGCTCTATGCCAGAGCTCTCACACTCTTATGTAGATATAGTCATGTCACAGCAGCTAAATACACCTAAACAGATGTTCTACACAAATCTGTTAGGATATGTCTTACCTGAGTTAAATGGCCAATAAAGAATTACAGGCAACTGGGTTTATAACAAGGCAGGAAGAATCATGTCATCCTGCTGCTCAGGCAGGAAAAAAAAACTGTCAAGTTCTCTTGCTGTACATATAATATATAAAACTTTGAATGAGAGGCAAGCTAGTCAGGGCAAGCCAAGATCAAATACATGGCTGCATGGAATAGATGCTGTAATGTATAGATTGAAGCCACAGGGAGAGAACATTTATCACATTGATTTATAAGATCACGGCTATAAGTTATATATGGAACACCCAGGTGACATAAAGAGAGACCAAGGGACACAAAAGAATGGCAGGGTTACAAAAAGGCCCTCTTTCTCTGCTGTTTCCAAAGCATACACTAGAAAATTTGTATGTAGGTAGATGGATAGGTGATAAACAGAATAATGGAGGTAGATAGATAGATGGATAGATAGATATTCATATGTGCATACATACATACATACATACAGATGACAGATAAATTAAAATTGATAATAAATTATGAATCCAACATCATCAAATTGTTTTTTCACATTTCCTTCTCTATACATTCATCTCCTTTCTTTCTTCTTCTTATTTCTATTTTTTTCTTTGTTTCTTTTCTTTTTCTGTACACTTTATGGTGTGAGTGAAAGGAAAACATGACAATGACAGATTGGCAACGAGGGTAGCACCATGAGAAAAAGTGGAGTGAGACAATAGTTCCGGGTTTTAAAACAAATCTGGTAATGTCTTAGATTGGACTATTACATACATACATATATAGATGTGTATATATATGCATACATACATGTTTATGCACATACAAACAAGCACATCATTATAAACAGCTAAGAACATACTCATCATAATAGGTGCCAAAAAAATCCAATGGGCACTGAATGTGACCATAGAACATTAAATCTCTGACAAAAGTCAATCTGCATCACCGCATGACCAGTTTTTATTGGCAAACGCAGAAAATTCAGGACAAGCCAAAGAAATGTTCTTGACAATTGGTTCTTGACAACTGAGGCTGTTGGGCATGTTCCTGGCCCCAAATACTCGGCTGATAATGCCCAGGGAACAGAAGTAGTCTGCTTTTCAATTTCCAGTATGCACAATTCGCATCGTGCCCTGTTATCTTTCTCACCATATTTCCTTCCGAGTGACCCTGATTTATCTATTTTGCCCCACTCTCCAGAACAACGAAGGAGGGGTGATTGCTCAGCTTCCCAGCGATGTAACCTCCTTTAACCAGACAGGGCTGAAACCTGGGGAGGAATACATTGTGAATGTTGTGGCTCTAAAGGAACAGGCCCGGAGCCCCCCTACCTCTGCTAGCGTCTCTACTGGTAAGTACCTCTAACTCTTCTCACGGATGCTTAGAGAACTGCCAGGAGTGGACTGCTGAAAAAAAAAAATTCTAAGATTTCTCAGAGAGCTGAGGAGATGTAGGAACATGGAAACGGACTTACTCTGCCCGATACTTAGTGGATCATGCTCCTTAATGTTCATCCTTGCAAGCTTAGAAACCTGGGAAAGTGTTCCATGGAGAAAACCCTCTATTAAATAGTTCCAGTGTGTTGTTACTAATCTCACTCATTAAGACTCCTCATTCATCAACCTCCTATTGGCATAAACTTTGAAACCAGCAAGAGCCAACTCATTCTCACCCACTGTAAGTCTTGGAGAAATTTAACTAAACCTTTCCAAACCACAACACCTTCCTTCTCCATTGAATTGATATGAGGATTAAATCAAATAAAGTGTACAATGTAATGAGCATTACATTGATGAATGCTTAATATTTGGTGTACACATATATACCCAAAACGTCTAGAAGTTGGAGCAGTAGAAGGCAGACTACATGAAACCAGTAGGCAGAGTTGAATCGCTGATCAAAGTGATGGCTCAAGTTGACTATTCTTTTCGTGCCCGCGGTTTATCTCATTCAGCATCATTATACTTTCAAGATCAATTCATTAATCATGTCGTATTTTACTTTATTGTCCTCCTAGCTGACAAAGGATGTTCAACTTCAGTGCTGTAACTTAGCAACTGTGATACGCATGTGTGTGACTCTTGAGAGTCGCTCAAAGGTGATAAGTACCATCTGCTATGAGTTTTTTGCCTCTCATTTATTGATGGGGAAGCTGAGATATGGCACTTAAGCAACCTTCCCTGTCAGCAACAAAAAACAAGATAGGAGAATAGTAATACATTTTCTCTTTCAAAAATAGAAATTGATGCCCTACAGCTCAGTGTCCAAGTAGGTTCCCTAGTAATGGGAACAGGGACTGTCTCTGACATGAACTCAGTGGCTGGCTCTTTGATCACCTCCCCCTGAGGGGAGTGTAGCCTTACCAGGCCACAGAGGAAGACAATGCAGTCAGTCCTGATGAGACCTGATAGGCTAGGATCAGATAGAAAGGGAGGAGGACCTCCCCTATCAGTGGACTGGGGGAGGGGCATGGGAGGAGATGAGGGAGGGTGGAATTGGGAGGGGACAAGGAAGGGGGTTATAGCTGGGATACAAAGGGAATAAACTGTAATTAATAAAACAATAAATAAATTAAAAAAGACTGCCCTAGAAAGCCAGTCTTAAGTTCAGAACAAAAGGTTGACCTGGATAGAAAAGGGAAAAACAGCACTATGCAATAAAGCAATGTTTGTGGGTTAATGGTTCAAACTTAGATATATGAATTCAAACAGCATCAGGTTCTGAGACATAGGCTCAGTGGAGAAAAAGGTTGAACTTAAAAAAAAAAACTTATTATGGCATTAGCTTATGTTGCATTATTGCATCAGGCTTCTAGAGCCATGTCTCAAGGTCAGGGGTGGGGGAGATCCGCACCTCTAGTTACTTCTCTCCCAGACTGCCAGCCAGGGAAGTTCTGCTTTGATCTGTTTTCTATTTTGTACGTCCACTTATGATTTTTTTTCTTTTTCTCCAAATTTATTTACTTATGTACTGTTTTCTCTAACATATGAGTGCTCTGTCTACATGTATACCTGCATGCCAGAAGAGGGCATCAATCCCATATGTTTGCTGGGAATTGAACTCAAGACCTCTGTAGGAGTAGCCAGTGTTCTTAACTGCTGAGTCAGCTCACCAGCCCAGGGTTTTCTGTTTTGTTTTAGGTTTTTTGTTTGTTTGTTTTTGTTTGTTTGTTTGTTTGTTTCTTAAAAACAAAGTTTCACTATGGGGAGGAGGCTTGTGAAAGCACTGTTATAATCAAGTGGGCTTCAGAAGAAACCCAGTGGAGGCAAAATCATGGCTCTGGAGGACTGTCCAGAGTGCCGCAGCACAAATCTGTGCCCCAACCTTATGCTGGATTCTGAAGACCAGAAATTTGCTAACATACATAGCTTATTCACTTCTGGAGGCTTTTCCTACGACTGACATAAAGAAAGCATTAGCAGTAAAAGGCTGGAAAGAAAAGATGGTTCAGAAGAGGAGAGAGATCATTCCAGTTGAGTAAATTACATCCAGAGTATTGAGGACACTTAAAGAAGCAATCCAACCCTGTCTCAGTCTTAAATCCAAACCAATTTTCAAAATAAAATGCGAAGTACTTTTTGAGAGTTCCTTAAAATGAAAATTAAAAGCTCCAGATTTAGAAAACCATGGGAAAGCTAGGCAGCTTTCAATTAAGAAGTCCTATCTAATGGCTTTGTATGATGTACTAAGTTATAAGAAGAATGTAAAAAAGAAGAGAAAGAAGAAAAAAAAAAACAGATGCATTCCATTTTTTGAAAGGATTTGTATTTGTTTAGAAATTAGTGCTGCAACCGAAAGCAAGCTACCTCAGCCTTGATTGGAGCAGGACACAAAGACCAATTGACCAACAAAGAGCAGAATCTGAGGACAGCAGGGAAGATGGCTGGCTCCCATTCCTATCTGCTGCTTTTAGGAAATAATCATTTGATTATTTCCTTCTGCTACGGTCTGACCTACACCAACCCCCTCCTGTGAAGCTCTGAGTCCTCATCTGCACTCAGACTGGCTTTTTCCAGGCAGGCCATTTTATGAATGCAAATACAAGACCTCCTGCAGCTAACGCCCTCTGTGCTACATAATCACATTCTAATATAGCCAATCCATTATGATTAGAGTTTTGGGATCTAAAGAGTTGAAGGACAAAAGCTTTATAAGGGTATCTGATTTTTCCCTGATGCCTTTTTTTTTTCTGCTCAAAAAGCTTTAGTTCGAAGAAATGTCCCCCCACCCCTGTTCTCCTGGATGAAGAGGCTCACCATTCACTTCATCCACTCAGCACTTATTGAGTGTCTACTATGTTTCACAGGTTAAACTTTAGCTAGGAGGGCATCTAGCCACCCTGTAATTAAGCTAAGTGAAATAACGAAGGTCTGAGTCACCCAAAGCTGCAGTATGTGGCAAAGAAACCAAGTAAATGGTTTCTGTCTAAACACATGATTACCTCAAGTATGAAAAATTAAACTTCATTTTTAACTCCAAACCAGGCAGCACCAAAATGATCTAGTGATTTTCATTTTAGTTGATACTAAGACAAAAGCCTGAATCTGCTTACTAGGAAACAGCAATGGGCTGAGAGTGGGGTGCATAGCAAACCTGAGGAAGCTGAGGTTAATCTGCTGTAGTTTTGGTGAAGGCATCCATGCTAGAGACAGAGTAGAAAGTAGTCCAGTGTGTACTGATTTAAAAGCAAGTCTTGGGCCAAGAGTCCTGAGGAATCTATGGAAAGTTTCTTAAACTAGCTGAAGCAAAAGAAAATTTACTGGAAGGATATAAATTGTTTCCTAGAAGCCCAGGACCAGAAATATACCTGAGCCTTATAAAGGATTTGAACCATAAAATGGAAAATAACAGAAAACGAGTTACTCTTTGTATCTTCCTGCAAGCCCACGTGCTCACTCATTTCTGCTTGGCTATATACCCATGCGCACCTCCCCCTCCTCCCCTTCAGTTCTCCACTCCTCGCTACCTACATCGAATGCTCCCTATTTCTCAGAATCACCACGCCAGATCTGGCTCTACACAAGCTCTCTCTAATGCCAGAGAACTTGGAGAACTCTTTGCATCCAATGTTCTCAGGCTCAGAAACATGCAGGCACATGTTGGGGGCAGGGGAGGGCGTGTAAGACACGCAGAAACAACTCCAGAATGGAGCCCTTTTTATTAGAAGGGGGACATTTTCCTGAGTGGCATGTTTCATGCCCACACATGCAAATGCCAGGCCAAGTAAAACCAGTAACTTCTGAATACTCATGATGAGATCTTTGGCAACCAAGGTTGGGTCTCATTTGTCCCCATTATCTCATAGAGCTTTCCTCTGGGCTCACTGAAGGTAAGAGCTGGGCAAGAAGCACAGGCCAAAGGTTTCTTCTCTCCTTCTGTGCCATTACCTTTGAAAGAAATATGTCAGAGTCATTTAAGCTAGTCAGTGACCTTCCCCTGCCCAGCGTGGAGAATGCCAACACCTGAAACCTACAGGCAACGAATGGAGAAAGAGCCCAAGGTCCAGGAGAACGTCAGTGTCCACGGTAGCAACAAACGTGTGCACGAGGAAGAGGTTTGCTCTTTTATATTTCATATTCCCCCCCTGTACAACGGGGTGAGAAAAGCCATCCCACTGAGCAAGCTAGCGTAAGAAGGAAAAGGGTAAAACAAATGCCAAAGAGAAGGCTCACTTCTGTATCAACACCATGTTCTGTCTCACGCAGTCATTGATGGGCCAACGCAGATCCTGGTTCGGGATGTCTCTGACACCGTAGCCTTCGTGGAGTGGACCCCGCCTCGAGCCAAAGTCGACTTCATTCTTTTGAAATATGGCTTGGTGGGTGGGGAAGGCGGAAAGACTACCTTCCGGCTGCAGCCTCCCCTGAGCCAGTACTCGGTGCAAGCCCTTAGACCTGGCTCCCGCTATGAGGTGTCTATCAGCGCAGTCCGAGGAACCAACGAAAGTGATGCCACAAGCACCCAATTTACAACAGGTGAGACTGAGGTGGGAAAAAGGACCAGGGTTGGGAGGCAGCATGATGATGTCATCATAGCCAGAGTACATTTAAAAAAAAAAAATGAGATGATGCATGCTGGGTAACCCTGTTAGTGCAGCAGCTACAAGAAGAAAGTTAGCGGTTTGGGGGCCTCAAGTAAAGGGAGCTGGGTTCTCATCCTAACTCTGCTAGCCAGCTCCATGACTTAATATAACTCCCTTCCTTCTATGAGTCTCTGATTTCCAATTTCTGACATGATCTGTTTGTCCCAAAGACAGTTAAACAACCATGCTGTTGGCCTAAATGGTAAATCTGTGAGAATTCAGAGAAGCTATCTGTTTCTTAAGACACGTTATTGCCATTTACTGGAAACAGTAGAAATTCTCTAAGCCTGAAGTATATTCGTTACCATGAATACTCCTCAGCCTTGTGCAAAGCTCAACCTGTACAGTCATCAGCAAACCTTCCAGCTGAGATCTCTGGGTCATTCTGCCCTTTGTGACCTCCAGAAATAAGGCTAATTGGTAGAAGAACATGGCCTTGAAAATGAAGCTGAGTCACACCCATTATAGTTTTTTTTTTTTTGGGGGGGGGCTTGCAATGATGCTCCAAGAGAGTTTCATAAAGAGCTTCCTTGAATTGCTTTATCAACAATCAAAAAAGCCAGGCCTCAGGGTTCCTGATTCAGAGCCCTGAACGATAGGCCCCCACTCAAGGAAACAAGGACCTGTGATCAGGTTAGAGACTGAGTTCCTATTAATCTAGGGTGCTGGACTTGTCCTCTATTTCCTGGGGAGATTATATGTCAAGGAAAGTTTTTGCCAGGTCCAAGGTATTCCAAGGATCAAAGAAAACTGATAGCATCTAGAAGATCTAAGAATCGTTGTCTTGTCCTGCCTAAGATGGAGTGAGGTAGAGGTTGGTTCCAAGACCATGTAATAACTAGCACACTTTTTCTATGTAGTTTTTGAATTATTGATGAATAAGGCAAATAGTAAGATATATTCACACACACACACACACACACACACACACCCATATGACCTCAATTATAGCAGATAGCTTAGTGTTACAGCTAGACAGATTTACAAATTGAATGGCTGGGGAAGACATGGGCTAGCCTGCCTGTCGGGGAAGCCCTGGAGTACTACTGAGGTTAGGACTCAGGAACAGGCAGAGACTGGAGCCCTACTGCAGCCAGTCCCATGAGAGAGGGTAGTAGCCTGCCAGTGCCCAGGCTTTGCTGCCCAACTCACCACTGAAGTAACCCCATCTTCCCCAGCAAAAGAGAACAGCCAAGAGTCTTACGGGGAGTTCCTCCTATAGAAGCAAGCAAGCGTAGACACTAGTGAGCTTTCCTTTTAGAAACAAGTGTGGACTCTGGCAAATTTCAGGAGGCAAGGTAGAGTCTGCCAGACAGTCTTTAAGTTCTTTTCTCAAACCCTGGTACCAGGCTCCACTTCCTAGCTAGTGGGATGTTTCAGTAAACATATCTTGAGATTCCCCAGAAGACTGAGTGTGTGTCTTAGAAAAAGCAATCAAATTATTCTCCTTTCTCTTCCTTTCTCCCCAACATAAGGCAAAAATGTTCATGTAAAAGCATAAGGAAGGATGGTCTTGTAATACCCATTCTTGGTCTGAAAAGTCATCATCAACCTCCAATGCACACACACACACATACATCTCACAGACAACATGACTTGCTCAGGCTCTCGGTATCTGCTGTAGGCCACTTGTTCTGCATTCTTCTTTTAATTTCAAGATAGTTTGTGCATTTGAAAATGGTTCCTTTGTGCTTTGCTCTGATAAGGAATTTGAAGAGGCAGGAAAAGAGAAGGGGGCTCTCAAGGAGCATTGATGAAAAGTGAAATTCTTGATGTTCAGGTCAGCAAGGTGGAGCAGCACTGGCTGGTGGCCCAGGAAAATTCCAATCGAGACGATTACATCCCGCCTCCTCCAAGGGAGCTCCCCTTGAGTCTCAGTTCACTGCAGCAGGATTCTCAGCTTGCCTAGTGGATTGGCAGCTGTTAGGTGGCTGCTTTTCCATGCAGCCTTCAGCCTGTGCCTCAGACCCTTAGGCTCCCAGAGGAAAGAGAGGAGTAGGGGTGGGAAGAGACAAATAGCTTTGCAGACAGATTCTCCAAGTCCAGAGTTGGCAGATACCAGCTGAATGATGAAAGGCTATGCAGACCCTCACGGTAGGGCCCTCCGTCATTTCAGAATTCCGCTTAAATTCAAATTAAGCAAAGCGGTTTTCCAGGTGATGGCTTCGACACTAGGAGTGCACTAATTGCACTGGCAATTAAAACTGAGATTTGCTTCCTGCATGGAGAGTAGGATGTTAGTCTGGGTCTTAGAGCGGCCCTGAAAAGAAGAACCCTGGTGGAAGCATAGAGGCCAGTGATTAGAAGGAAGCCAGACAAGAAAATCAAGAGTCCCCTACCGTTTCAGCAGCCTCGTGAAGACTCTGGGCACAGTTTCCCTACCATGGAGGACTTCGCTCTGAGCATCATTTTCTCAGAGCACTTAGGCACCAGAGCCTTTGATCTAAATAACTCACATCTGTACTTGGTGCTTCTTCTGCGTTTTAAAGATGCTAAAGCCATACACCCCACCCCCCAACCCGTATGTTTGAACGTGGCCTTATTTGGAAATAGGGTCCTTGCCTACAGGCAGATTGAGGTGAAGTCATTGGGATTGGCTCAAATTCAGCAACTGTGTCCTTATCAAAGGAGGAAACCAGGTCAGAGACAGGCATGCACACAGGAACATGCCGTATGATGATGAAGGCAGAAACAGGCCGGGGGATACCCAAGATGACTAGAAAATCAGAAGGTGCTGAGAAACATGCCACAGACTCCCTCACGGCCCTCAGAAGAAAACCACCCTGCCAGAATCTGCATCTCAAGCTTCTAGGCATTGCTTTTCTACCATGTTTAGCAGCCCTAGGTAACAAATACAAGCATCTAAGCCGGAGTTTCATTCCCCTCCGTCCTCCCTGGTGACCCCATTCTAGGATTCTCCAACAAGTTACTTCACAAGTTCAACCTGGAAGCCCTCGACACCTGAGCCAAGACGCCAAGTGACTTCTGCCTTTGTCACAGCTGTTCTTCTACCTGCACCACCTCACCTCAGGCGATCTCAAAGCCCACAGCTAAAGTATTTAACAAGCCATTTCCAAAGGCTTGGAGGGCACAAACAAGATTGAGAAGTGGGTGGTACACATTCTGTTGCTTGCAATGAACTTTTTTAACATCCTCTGGGGCCACAGGCACTATTTTAGGCACATAGGCTATAGAGTAAACAGTTAAGAGTCCATTTCACATGAATGACATCTTAGTGTGGAGAGGACTGGGTGACCACGTGGGGAAAAAAAACATGAGAGATCATTTCAATCATGAGTTTTAAGACAGGGAGTAAAATGGGTAAGACAGAAGGAAAGTTCCATTGGACTGAGTCTACCCCTCTCAGAAAGTGGCATTCTAACAAAGAACAGTATGATTTAAGTCACACAAGAACTAGAGAAAATTCCAGGCAAATAACAGCTGGTTCAAAGGCCCTGTAGTGCAAATTAGATTGATGTGTCTCAAGAATGAAAAAGAGTACAAGTGTTTAAAAAGGCCTGCTCACTCGATACCCAGTCAGACCCCCATTGTTGCAATTAAGGAGCATTTAGCACAGAGCAACGGAAAGTTTTCAATAGAGAAAAATCTGATCTAATATTCTCGAGACTAGATAGTCTAGTACCAGTGTTCACAGACCCAAGTCCCTGCAGAAAGGCTCCATTAGCCATCTGTCTTTGCTGGCATGTTTCAGAGACCTGCTCAGTCCCCTCCTACACAGATATCCTCCAGCTGTTCTTTCTAGACCTAAAAAGAGCATTGTTTCATCTCAGGCCAGTTCTGAGACTTACTGCACAAGCCCTCATTCTAGGAATGAGTCCTATTATAATTATTGAGATTAGAGACACTTATTAATTTCCGATAAAACATTGTCCCCCTTCCCATAGAATACAGGGCCAACGACCATTAGATTATACTCTGTGCCCTTATAAAAAGAGGAAATCTCTAAGATAACATTTTCTGAGTATAGGCATAGGTCTCTACCTTAGCTCTGATTAATTGTCTTTACCTCTGCAATGGTTAATATTTTTCAACTTGACAGAGTTTAGAACCGCCTAGGAGACACACTTCCAGGCACCTGTATGAAGGAGTTTCTAGATTGCAGTGGGACCCACCTTGAATGTGAGGAATATATTCTATGGGCTGGTGTTGTGGACTGCATCAAAGGGAGAAAGCAAACTGAGCGTCAGCGCCTGTCCTTCGTCTTTCTCTGCTTTCTGTTTGCGGATGCGTGCAAAGTGACCAGCTGTCTCAGACTCCGTACTCAGGAACTGTGAGCCAGAGCAAAGCCTTCTTTCCTTAAGCTGCTTTTGCCAGGTGTTTATCACAGCAAAGAGGAAAGTAACTAACAACGTTGACTCAGCCCAGGCCCTAAACTCTTTGCCAGATCTTTCTTTCTGCATGAGATTTGCCTCACATGTGTCTGCCCCATGTTCCTCTGTCCATCCAACTCCCAGAGAAATAATGTACAATATAACAAGGATGGACAGTATCCAGTATGATAACACATGCTGAACGAAGACCAATTTCTCAGAAAAAAATAAGTTGCAAAGACACCCATCTGCTCAAGATCCCCCACACCCACACCCAGTTTACATCACAAAACAGAGGCCTCTGCTTTCTTTCCCACAGATTCACAGCAGTCTCCTCTTCCACAGGAACAAATGGGGGTGGGCTACTTGCCTGGTGTTGGCAGATTGCCTCAGTCTACTTGGAGCAAATAACTGGACCTTTCCAATGTTAAATTCAAGCCCCAAGAACTGGAACTATTTTGGACTTTTTAAGTGACACATTTTCAAGACAACCCTTTCTCACACTACAAGTTCTCACACTGGTCCTCCTCAAATGAGCCTGTGGAGGTGGTTAGTCCTGGGGAATAGAAGTTGAGCTCAGAGATAATGGAAGAAAATGCCAGTAGTCATGGGAACTCTTGGGACCCTAAAAGCATGCATTTAGGTGACATACTGTTGGATCCAGGAAGCTCACCAGAGATAATGATCAGCCAGCCAGCCAGTCTTTGACACCTACATTTGTACCTGGTGCCATGCTGTGGACTTCATGTGCACATCTAATCTGTGCCACAACTTGGATTGTTTTCCCCTTTCCAGTCCTAAGAGCTTGAAAGAATTGTTTGGGGTCCCATTACTGTAGGTGTCAGAACTGGTTCACACTGAGGCTTGACTCCAAAGCCCACACTCTTCTCACTATATCACACTCACTATTCACGGTGTAAATTTCCAACCTGCACGCTTTTCAGCTGCATCTATACAAGTAAACCCATGGGAAGATACCTTAAAATCAGCCATCTCTATTCGATTTTAACCACTTGTGGTTGTCCCTTGTCTTCTCCTACTGGATTATCTTCTGCCTTGCTTTTAAACTTCTGATATTAATCAGCTTCTTTTCAAGTTTCTAGAATGCTATTTGAATTCTCAGATGATATAGAGGAAACATAGAAATCATTGAAGTCTAACTCCAAATCATTTGATCCACCCAAGGAATTGTTGTGGTAGAGCCAAAAGGGAAACAGCATCTTCAAACTTCATTCAGTGATGAGGCCGAGGGTCAGGAGGAGTGGGCTCTCACCTCAAAGATTATTAAAATTCAAGATGCACCACAGGTGAATGAGATCATGTGCGATGTTGGTCATATTTGCTTATTTTTAGAGATTGATGCTCCCAAGAATTTGCGAGTGGGTTCCCGCACAGCAACTAGCCTTGACCTTGAATGGGATAACAGCGAGGCAGAAGCTCAGGAGTACAAGGTTGTATATAGCACCCTAGCGGGAGAGCAGTACCATGAAGTGCTGGTCCCCAAGGGCATTGGTCCAACTACCAGAACTACCCTTACAGGTGAGTAAGACTTGTCTTTTGGGATGCTCATCGAATCCGTATGCTCACAGCCCTCTCCTCAACTTATTTATTTCAAACTACTCCACCAACAAGTCCCACTGATTTCAGATGTCAAATAGCTAACAAATGCATCCCCAATGTTAGAGTGTATAGCTATCAATCATTCTAAATTACCAACATCTCTTCCTTTAACCATGACAATAATTCCCTACATTTTTTTAGCTCAATCTACTTTTCATCCCAGCAATATTGGATAATTTCTCAAAGTACATTTTTATTATGCCATTATATTATATATACATCCTAAGCATCTAGTATTGCCTTCAGGGTGAACAGCCCTCAAGGCTAGCCTGTTTTCCTCTAGTTCCCCCCAGGCTACCTCCTCTGGGTGCTCTGGTGGTCTGTGTGTTCCTAACCCATAGGCCTGCACCCTCCATTTCCTCAGACACACTGGTTTTCCTGCCCTGGGGCATTTCTTAGCTCATGCCAGATTCTCTTTCAGCACCAGAGTTTATATGCCACCTGATGAAGAACAAGGTAGTGTAGGTCAAACAGACTTACACTCAAACACCTCTTCACTATTCTGCCACTTGTGAATGGGATTTGATCGTGACCCTACACCTAATGCTCCATAAAAGTCAGCCCACATTTTTGTTGCTGTTGCTGTTGTTCATGATTGAATTCAAGGTTTATCACAATGCCTACCACATGCTGGATCCTAGATCATTACTTTTTGCATAAATGAATGAACTAAATTAATGAATGAAGCTGCAAAAACTTAAAATGAGAGCCTGCTCATGCATTCTGTCCTATAAAGAGTTTGAGATACGCTAGAAAAGAGAAAGGAAACATTGAGCCATTTTATGTATTTGTGGATTTACTTACTTCCTGAGACAGGGTCTTACTGTGCACCCTGTGCTGGTCTCAACTCATGATCCTCCTGCCTCTGCTTTCTGAGTGATAAACTGTTTGTGAGCAGCACCATGCTGGGTAAAGGATTTTAAGCAAGGCAATGCGATGAGTAGGTATGTACAGACAAGGGTCAGGGCTGAAACAGACTGTTCAGGAGTCTGTTGGTGGCATCAAAGAAGAAAAGAAGGTGCATGGATCGAGGCAGTAGCCTGTTAACACAATGCCTGGTTGGAGTTGGGGAGGTGTTGACAGATCTCGGTGGTGAGGGGAATGGGACCCAGTCATGACTCCTCCTAATCTATGGCATACCCATCCAAGAAAGTATACCTGCTGGCCTTCACCAAAAGGTGGATGCTTCAAGTGTGCCATGTGGTTTTCACAGGAAGAATGAATGGCACAAAGTGCTTGTGGGCCAGAGGCTCCCATGAGCCCACAGACTTTATTTCACTCGTGTCTTGGCTTGCAAAAGCATTTGCTGTCCCACTAGTCCAGGGTCTCAGCAAGAATTAGAATAGTAAACAAGAGCACATGATCAAAGCTGTTTTCCTCCTGAGCTGAAATCCCAGACCTCCTTGCCAAATGAAGTTAGTTAAAGTAAACATTAAAGAACGCCCTTTCCAAACAGATACACAGCCAGAAACACAGCACGGAGCTGGGAAATAGGCTGATGAAGCAGGTTCATGGGGAGGTGGACATGGAAGGGATAGCAAGCTGGTGGAAAGGCCTTGCAGAGAGCTAGCGACACTGATTTAAAAAACAAAAATCCCCTCAACAACAAAAAACAACAACAAACCTGACAGGTAGAGGAGGAAACAGCATTTCTCTGCCTAGAGCTACAGGCTGATTTTGCAAGCAATACGCTTACAAAAATGGGAGCTAGTTGGTTGGATAGAAGCTACACTGTAAAATCACAGAGAACCGATTATAGCCTGGGTATTATGCCCCACTATCAGAAGGAAAACAACAAGAAGACTTTGTAGTCATTCCAGTCTTGCCCCACATATCTGTAGCTGTGAGCTTTCCCATTGTATGGATGAGAAAGTCGAGGCTCTGGAAACCTGTATAAGTTCACAACACTAGCAAGGGACCTGATGACTCAGAAGCAGCTTCTGAGTCCCAGGGTAGAGGCTTTCCTCCCCTGGCTGCTGTCACTAAAGAAGTAAAATGTAAAGGGCAGTCCAAATTTAAGTTCCAAAGACCTACAAAGGAATGGGAGATTTATTATTGAGTAATGGGCTCAAATGGGGTTGACATTTTGTATTTGAGTCATGTTTATAAAAATGAATATAATATACACACATATATGTATGTATGCATGTCTGTATGTGTGTATGCATAATATATATATCATAATTGTCTTAAAACGTTCACTGCTGGGGAGTTTTATAAATGCAAACCACTGCATGATTTAAGGAGAGATTATAGGCATAGGAGAAAACCAAATACAGTATATTCCTTTTCTGAGACTAGTTCTAAGGATCACAGCTCTCTTACTGCAGTCTCTGGGGGAAAGAAAGGCCCAGGAAGGAGGGAAGAGAAAACGGGAAATGATTGATCCTAGCTCTGCATAAGTGAATGTTCTCACTCATTGCCCTACTTGGACCCTGAAAAGGAAGCTTTCTCACCTTTTATGCCCTGTATGGGTCTCCAGAAACCTCTTATTAGACTTGGGCCCAGACTCATCACTTTCCATGTGCCTGGGTCAGCTGAAGCCTCTATTTCTTCATTTGTAAGTGACAGTGTTCACCTTATAGAACCATTGTTGAAGTCACTTATTTTTATTCTTTTTAAATAATAAAATTATAACAAAGTAGAATAAGATAAAACAAAAACTATCACGCCAGAGTTGGATAAGACAAACAGAAGGAAAAGAGCCCAAGAGAAGGCACAAGGGACTCACTCGTTCACATACTCGGGAAACCCATAAAAAACACTAAACCGGAAGCTATACTATATATAATATTAATGCATATATAATATCTATAATATGCAGAGGCAGAGTACAGACCCATGCAGGTCCTGTGCATGCTGCAGCAGTCTCTGTGAGCTCATACGAGCTTTGATCGTGTTGATTTAGAAGGCCATGCTTTCTTGGTATCCTCCACCCCCTCTGGCTCTTACAGAGAGTCATATATTTAATAGGTCCCAGGTAGCACTGCTACCAGGGGGACTGTAAGTAGATGCTGATAGTGGAGGAGAAGGGGGACGCAGAGGTCTGTCAGCTGATGGCTGACTTGGGATGCCCTCTTTTGATCAGCATGTGGGCCCCAGCAGCAGAGATGTCACGGGAAATGTTAGAGGCCTCTTATACCTGACCCACCGAGTCGTCGCCTGCAGAGAGCCTCAGGAAGTTGGTGGACACACAGACACATGCGTTGGCAGACAGAAAGCACTCATTTAGAGCACAGCTGTTGGTGTCACCCACTTAGATTTGAGGCATACAGCTTCGCAGGGTTGCTCTTTGACTTGGTCTCCTACATTTTCTACATGTCGGTTTCCTGCTGTCTGATGCAGAGCCACCAAGAGGATTAAATAAAACCATAGGCACCATTATATGTGCGTGCTGAAGCTGGAGCCTGGAACACCCCAACTGCATGTTAGCCATTGGATTTTCGCTATTTGCCTCTCCACAAAGTTCTGCCCTAGACCCATTGCAGCCTGGCCTTTTCTTGGCACACCTTTAGACTGCCTTTATTCTCACAGTTGATTGCTATAGTTAGAAGCAGTGATACCTGTATTCACTAGTCTTGACAGAAGCTCTTGTCTCTGAGGCCACCATTGACTCTTTTGCTGGGAAACCCGTGCCCTTCTTGACTCAGGCCCACAGCAAGCACACACCTATCAGTCCCAACTTCCACAAGCTTTGTTCTTTACAACACAAAACCTAGACTCAGGTCTAGAATCCCAGACATTCCCTCATTACTCTCTGTAAGTCAATGCCCAGAGAATTCCCTCTGGGGCACAAATTTGTTTCTAAACAACAGACTCTGTGTCTGCAGTATTTCTGTTTGTTTGTTTGTTTGTTTGGCTGGTTAGTTGATTGGTTTTCGCTTTTCCTTGCTTGGGTGGCTTCTGAATCTTAAATGTTAAGATTTCTTTTAGCTCAGCTTCTGCGTCTCCATGGTATCTGCTTGGTCAGTGTTCTATGCCTCGAGTCTCCACAGGGTCCCAAAGCTCCACAGATTTACAGAATCATTAAGGCCCCTGCAGGTTAGAACCTGGCATGGTACAAACAAAGGCTGATGGCACAATTCTGCACTCTGGCAACAAGCCATATGGAAGACTTCTGGTGCAGGGAGGAAGAAAAGAAGATTCCAGGTTGTTGGCTGAAATGAGGTCAAAGGAATATCTTCCCGCTCAAGACTAATGCAAAATCACCACCACCACCATCATCATCATCAGTGCTCTGAGCATGTATCTGAGGTGACGCTTCTGCTCTCTCCACGAAGGAATAGGCTCTTGGCCACCTGTGCATCCTCCCAACACTCTCTCCTCCTCCTGGACACTTAGGATGCCTGTGACCAGGAGACAAAGTGATGGGAGCTTGTCTCCATGGTTTCTAACACGGCCCTTCCTCATCAGCTGCTGCTCTGTACCTGTACATCGGTCTCTAACCACATACTGCTAACCGGAACATCAATCAATAAGAGGAACCTAAAGCCCATAGACATTGTACCCTAACGTAAGTTGTCAGAGAAGCAGTTACAGCCAGCCACACAAGCTACAACTCACGCATCCATATTTGTGTTCACATACACTCAGATGCAAATACAAACACACACGAGATAAACTCACGCAACCATGCATATACTCACACTGATACTCACAAGCAGTAACACTGCTTAAATGCGTGCATCTGCTCTCAAACCGCTCACACATTCATACTCTAACGTGCAGTAACATTCACTCAGATATAGACACACGAGTTCACGTGTTCACACACAAATACACATAGTTACACACTCGCTTGTGTATTTGCACATACCACTGTCATAGTGCATATGCATACCTATACACAAATGCTCACACGTTTACATTCATGCGAGTATGCACACATACAAGCTGGTGTCTGCAAGCACGCTCCACCG